GCTCCAGCTCTGTGCTAACGGTGAACACAGAAGTCCTCACCCCCTGGCCTTCTGTTGTATAACATGTCGAACCCCAACCTGGGGCAGAAGTTACCGCTTTCGCCTTCTATTCTCAGCGTGAGAGCCGTGAGGAACCACGCTCATTGGTCTGCTGTGAATTCGTGAGGTCGATCATCTATCTATCTGTCTCACGAGAGACTGTGTATTTGACCTTAGTTGTTCCTTAGACATTTTTATTCGGTTTGTGGACTCATTGCAGTGAAACACACTGTGGCTCTTCGGAACCCTTTTTGCCAGTGCTCATAAACTGCCAGCTCAGGAGGCTCAATTCTGTTTAGTCCAGATGGAGTTACTTGAGCCTTTGGAACAGATGTCGGCTCTTTAAAATGGGGGACATGTTGCATAAATCTAGATCTCCAGGTTCTCTTAAGAAATCGGGCCATCTGGCACGTCTTACTTCCTCGCAGCAGCTGTCCCCAGGTGCTAAGCCGGGGCTGGTTCCCAGTCCTCTCCCGGCCAGCTTCACGGGCTTATCACTGGATATTTTGGTCCATTTTCTCAAAGTTCAGGATTTGTCTCAACCACTTTGCAGGAGAGGCTGAAGCTGAGGTAAGTGACTTTATTTCCCTCTGTCCTCTTCCGTCTTGTCCCAGTGGAAGTAGTCCCTCTCGTCAAGGCTAAACCCATTTCCTACGCCCGCCCGTATCATTCCTCGGCTATGCAAACATGCTGACAGTTTCTTAACATGAGAAATAAAACCATCCAACAACTTTGCTCACCCCTCAAGCTCTCTCTCAACTTTCCAATCATCTGTTCTAAGACGTACTATATTCATTGTCCCTGGATTTACTATCCACTTGTTTCTTAGTCTCTTATCCATCCTGGGCTTCCATTTTCCCAACTCAGCGGCATTTTCTGTGTTCATCCTTTTTACCTCTTGCCTTGTGAACCATCCGGTCTTAAAATTCTTCTTTACTGTGTCTGGCTACACCGTGAAATCCCAGCCTTCTGCTTGTTCTTCTCGGCCTCATCTTCTCGTCGCCCAGATACGGGTGTCGGTCACCCAAGGCTCTATCCCTGGCCCTTTTCCTTCCACGTTTCACTCTTGGGCTTCGCCTTGCCCTGCTGCGCCGACTCGAGGCCCTCACCTCCTGAGCGCCAGCCCCACACTTCTGTCTACTGCGGGGTGTCCTGCCAAGTCCTCCGATTTAAACCTGTCCCAACCTGACTTCGCCGCCTCAGGCCTCACGGGTACGCCATCGTTTAATGACATCGCTTTTCGGCCACTCACCAAAGCATGACCCCCTTCCCTTTGCAACAGCCAGCCCGAGTGGGCTGCATGACTCAGATGTATTAGTCTCCTAGCTGCCATAACAGAACGCCACACGCCGGGTGGCTTAAACAACGGAAATGTATTTCTCCGCAGGTCCAGAGACCACAAGTCCCAGATGTAGGCGTCAGCAGGTTTGGTTTCTCCCGAGACCTCTCTCCTTGGCCTCTCGCCTTCTTGCTGTGCCCTCACACGGCCTCTGCTCTGTGCACATGTACTGCTGGTGTCTCTTCTGATAAGGATGCCAGACCTATCGGATTAGCGACCCACCCTTGTGATATCATTTAACCTTAATGATCTCTTTATAAAGCCCTATCACCAAACAGTCACCTTGGGGTTAAGGCTTCAACATGCGAACTTTGGGAGAGACAACGATCCGGTCCATAACAGAAGGGTAGTCCAGGGGTTAAAGCAGGAACGATGTCAGGGTTGGTTAGAGCAAAACTGAGCTAAGGTGATAAATTCAGGGAAAGTCCACAGCTGGCCCTCAGGGAGGAGCAGACGGGATGGGACGATGGCTATAGAATTAGAGTATTCTTGCAGCTCAGAGCTGAGAGGAGCCCAAGGCACAGCTGCATTCGAATGTGCTGTGGCCTCAGAAGACTTAACCATACATCTGCCCTCTGTGACTGAGGCCGTGAGCCCCCAACAGGGCTACGTGTGAGTGTAAGCCATAAGTAGGGAGTAATAAGGGCCCCGTGGCTCTGATGCTGCCTGGGGCCGTGGGCCTGCTCTACCTCCTGGGCGCTACTCATGGGCAGTGTAAATACATATTTTGGATATCCGTGTTGTCGTACCTGTCCCGTCTGAGGTCATCTCTGCATGGAGAAGTCTGAGGGAACAGGCCTGAAGGCTTAGTGCAGTCTGTCTGAGTCCTCACCGTGGTTCTTCCACCCGTCACTTGTGTATATTCTCAGGGCTGCCACGCTGGGTCGGGCCCTTTATTGCACGTGAGAAGGATTATTACGACAGCCTCTTACCTGGCCTCCCTCCCGTGTGTCTTTCCTTCAGGCCATACCACCTACCATTCCTGGAGCCCTCTGCTTATAAGCCTTGGGTGCTGCCTGCTGCCTCCCAAACTCAGGCCAGACCCCTCGGTCTACTGGTGGTCAAGACCTTTACGGTCGAATTCGTCACCCGGGAATTCCCGCCTGTTCTTCAGTCACGCTGGGTGTTTGGCTCATCGACCCTCCCTCCAAACTCGCCCACCTCCGCCCCCGATGTCCGCGCTATTCCGTGCCTAAAATGTTCTCTTCCTTCTTCTGCACCTGCTGAGGTTTCTGTACCCACCCCTCTGTCGTCAAGGTCTAAACACAGTCCTGCCTCACTTGGGACCCCCTCCCTTGTCTCGCAGTGTAGGTCTTTTTGTACTAAAGCTTTTCCTTCACCCTAAAGTCCCTCGAGAATAGAGGTGGCGTTTTACTTTACCCCATCGAACACTTAACACTATTTTGCATCTAAGTGTGAGGTGAACATTTGTGGCGTGAGCAGATAAAATCAGGTTTGGGGTAATCAGGCTTCTTGATGTTCCATAGAAGGTAAAGTCGAAAGACCAATGTTCATGATCCTAAACTTCACCGCTCTGTGCTAACTGAAGAAGCTAACTGTTTAGGGAGGGCAGAGGTCGGTAGGGAGCATGAATGTGAGGGAGAGCTGGCAAGCGGCATTCTCATTCGGCCTTGTGGGATGACTGGGAGATTCACGGGATGAGTGGTCGGGCCTTAGACAAGGATGGGGCTAGGCCTCCACCCATAGGATCGAGGGAGGGGAGGAATGGCCTCAGCTCTTCAGGCAGATAGGTTTGGGGGTGAGGAGTGGCCTGTCAGTTTTAATTCATAGGATAAAGAGCCCATGGGGGCTATTAAAGGTTGTTTTCGTCTGCTCGACTCTTAAGTTTGCCTGACGTAGAACTAGAACTTGGGGAGGAGGCACAAGGCACAGACTTTAGGCTGCCACTCGCTCCCATGCTGTTGGCCAGTGCACTGACTGTGGGCAGAGCTGGACACTGAGGACGGAACAGGGTGACCAACGGCCTCTCCTAACCAGGCTGTCACCATGGTTTCTCAAGTCAAGTAAAGGCAAGCTCAGGGTGGCTGTTAACAGTTCACCTGACCTTGACATTCTCCTTCCCATGAGGGCATGATCCCAAGCCTGAGGGGAGGGGAGGGCTGTTAGAAGCAGCAAAGGGGATTTTTAAAATGCTCACGGTTAGGTTTCAAGCCTGGGGATTCTGAGTGGGTAGATCCGAACGCTTTCTAAGCATCTATTTTTATAAATCCTGCCTGATGTGTGAATCGGGCTGGGGGCAGCCAGGATTTAGAATCGAACTGTGAGGTGATTGTGAAGACTCAATGAGATAATGTACGACCTTGACACAGCGTTCTCAAACCATGACGTGATTTTTCTGTGACGGTCTGTAGATTTACACCACCGACTAGTGTACCCGTTTACTCAAACGGAAGCGCCTGGTGCCTTTGGCGGATGGAGCAACTCGCAGGATTTCAGGGGCGAGAAATGACGATCCTGTAATCGCGAAGTGCCGACTTCATTTCTCCAGCGATTGTCATTTCTTTTTCCTTTCTCAGAAGATTTTGCTTTTCCCCGGCCTGCATCGCGACTGATCTACAGCGACTTCGGGATTCCTTTACGAAAGCCTCTCTGGGAGCGCGCAGGCGTTAGACCAGTAGCCCTGCTGTCACCACGAGGTCACTTTTGTGCTGGGAAATGCTTCGTACTCTCGTCAGGCTCCCCCTGACCCTGAGATGCGCATGTTTCTCAGGGGATCGTGGATTTTTGATGAGCTACGTGGCTTGAAGCTCCCTTCATTCCTACTCTGCCCCTGCACCGGGCGGGCTTCTGAGCATTTATGCCCGTGCGATCTTTCTAAATCCCTGCTTTCGAGGGGAGAAAGCTGACGAGGCCCCGGGAATCCTCGGGTATCCCTACCCGGCTCTGACTAGAACTTCTGGGCCTGGAAAACCACTTTTCTATCTCATCTGCGATGCATCCGGCCAGCTCGGAGGCCCGGCCGCTCTGTCTTTTAATTGCGGTCTTCCTTGTCTGCCCTGCCTCCCCTAACTCCTAACAAGCCTTCAGGTCTTGGAGCTGTCGCTCCTCCAGGAAGCCATTCCTAAGTCCTCCCACCCCATTCCCTGCTCCCGAGGCTTTCTGTTACCGTCTCCTCTCCTGGCAGGTCATTCGCCACCTGTCACTGGAAAACTACGTCCTCCCTGACCCGAAAGGCAAAAAGCGTGGGTTGGTTTTGTCTACACCTTTATCCCCAGGGCCCAGAACTTGCCAGGCTCTTCAAATATTTGAATGAAAGTGGGATTGTATTTTCTTAAAAATCTTCATTCACGCATTTGGACCTAATTTCTTTAGGTCAGGGGACAAAGAGGAATTTGGTCTTGGAGCTATTGAAATTCAAGCATCTGTGTCTAGCACCCACCCAAATACACGCATCTGAGACTCAAGTAAAACGGTTCTCCTTGGGGAGTAGATTGACAAATCATTAGCAAGTCCTGGAAGGTGGCCTCTCCTCCCCCTAATGTTGCTCCCCAAACCGTCTGGATTTGCCGTGATCGGGAGAATTCTAGGGGATGGAGGACGAGGTTCTCACTCCAGTTACGTTTCCTCTCCCATGGATCTATCCATTTGGTTTTCATCACAGAAATGGCCTCCACCTTCAACCCCCGGGAGTGTAAGCTGTCTAAACAGGAAGGGCAACACTACGGCTTCTTCCTGCGAATTGAGAAGGACACCGATGGCCACCTGGTCCGGGTCATTGAGAAGGGCAGCTCAGCAGAGAAGGCGGGCCTCCAGGACGGAGACAGAGTTCTTAGAATCAACGGGGTCTTCGTGGACAAGGAAGAGCATATGCAGGTGAACGGGACACATGTGGCACTTCCGCCAGGATCTGCCCGTCCTCACGTTGCTGCTCATTGTTTCTGGTGTCGGTGGAGCTTTCCTGGCTGCCGCGGGCCAGGCGGGACAGCCTTCGTGGCTGTACTTTTCTGCCAGCTAATCAAACCTCCCACGCTTACCCAAGAACTGTAAAAACGATGGCTAGATTTAAATAGCGTCAGGTTGAAAATGCATTGCTATATGCCAGGAACTGTGCTAGGCGATTTCATATTATCTGTTAATCCTCGTTACAACCCGGGGTACGTATTAGCAGTTCACAGGCGTGAGGTGGAGGCTCGGAGAACTCAGCTGGCTAGTGTGTCCGTGCAGTGAACGCACGGGAGTCTGCCCCTGCCCCAGGCCTACCTGCCCCCACGTGGTCACTGTCTTCATGGACCTGGCAGGGCCTGCTGTGCTCTCGGAGGCCTTCGTCCCTAGAAAGGACCAGTCCTCATAAGCGTGGCCTGAGCTGGGGTTGGGTCTCACTCTCCGTTCCTACAGTGCTAGAGGCTCATCCTAATCGGCACCTGGCTCTCGGGAGGACTGGGGTCCTCCCTGCTGATTGGGTGTCGGGGATCGGCTATCGGAATCTCCCGGGCCAGATAATCAATCAGCCAGATAATCAGCCAGCATCCCTCTCTGGCGGTTGATAGAGGCTGATTGGTTAAAGTTATCTCTTCCCTTCTTCCTCTTAGGTTGTAGATCTGGTCAGAAAGAGCGGGAATTCAGTGACTTTGCTCGTTCTGGATGAGACTTCCTATGAGAAAGCCGTGAAAACCAAGGTAGACCTGAGAGAGCTGGGCCAGGAGCCGAGCGCGAACGGCAAGACGCCGAGTCCCGTGGCGAACGGAGGGACCCAGACTCCGACCCAGCCTCGGCTCTGCTACCTGGTCAAGGAGGGCAGCAGCTACGGCTTCTCTCTGAAGACTGTCCAAGGTGAGCCTGCGGGCGGGGCATGGACAGCCAGCTTTCCAGAAGGAAGACAGTGATCAATGACTTCTTTGACTAACTTTTCAGTTGCTATGGCTCTCAGAGGCAGCTGCGCTCTCTCCCTCCAGCCCCAGCCCTGCCTTGCACAACTGTGCAGTGAGAGGTCAAGACACTGGACAGCAGTGTGTGTGTGGGGTGGTTACTGGGCACTCTTGACCTTGAGGTCAGAAGCTTCGAGGGTCGATGTTTCTTTATTCTCCTCCAGCTTCCTTAGTGTGAGGGTGGAGAGGAGAATGGAGAATAAGAGGCCAGTAAAAGGAGGTTCTTCATAACAGCTTTTGATTGATAGGTAGCTCGTTTCATCTCTGTGCCCAAGCGGTCACTCATTTATTCAACACATTCTCGAGCACCTAGTGATGTGTCAGACACAACTGTCAGAGTTGCCGAGGACACCACAAAAGTCTCCACCTCCTGTGACATTTAAATCGTACCTTTAGCCGTGGCCCCGCATCACTCTGAGGTGTGACCTTGACCTCAAGCTGAGAGGTACACAGTGATTTGAAAAGTCCGGACCCCCAGGAAGCACTAGAAGTTCGGCTTCTAGAATTTCAGAGGTGAAGGCTGACCTGTGCTCGGTTGACCATGGTTTCTGTAATGGCTCCTCCGGGACCAAGGTTGGAAACTGTGGGAGCTGTTGGCCTTGGGGTTCCACCTTGAATGCTGCCCCTTCGGGGACTGGAGCCACTGGTGGCGGGCCATCTCCTGGTGAGCGATTAAGAGCGGACCTATAGGAAGCATAAACTAGTGTCCACGGCTTACTTAACCTGCAGCAAGAAGTACGAACTAGCTGTAAGAGGTATTTCTCAAATTTGCCAATTAAACACAATGGTGGTGTAGGTGGTCGAGGGCAGCTTGGCATTGCTTAGAAGTCCGTTATCAGAAACATGGAAAAAAATCATCATAATTCAGATCCTATTCACTTGGCCCTTGGGCTAATGTCCATGGTGAATGAATGGTTTCGGTTAGCTTTATGAAGAAAACGTTTCCTTCGTGACGAATATATAAATGTTGTGTTTAAGGAAGCAGAGTTTAAGTTACTGTTATTCCTTACAAATAATTTATCTGGTCATTATACAGCAACCCTTTGCTTAGACCGGATATTAATATCTTGAAAGGATTGACAGCATTCTTTTAAGAAGCACTGAAGTCACAGCGCCGTCTGACCCAGACCGTTCGTGTGTAAGCTTCCCGTCCTCTTTCGCTCGCGTGAGTGAGATGTGTCGAATCCGTCGGTCTGTGATCATTGGTGACAGTGCTAACTAACCAGGACAGAACGGAGTGCATGCCTTCTAATTCTACGAAAGCAAAGGGAGCGTGACACATGAGCATGGTTTGGTACTTTCTGGTTCAAGAGGCCGGTGCCACCTGCGGGTCCTTCCTCGCATCAAGTTGGGCTCAGAAATTCCATTCGAATCAACGACGACTGAGCAATGGCTGCGTCAAGCTCAGCCAGGAGCTCTGCACGCAGTTCCAGATCCGGAGCCAGGCTCTTTGAGTTAACCCTAAAACTGAAAGTTCTAGTTTTACATTATCGAGAGAAAACCTTTTACCGTTGTACTTTCTGCGTCCGCCCCCTACTCTTCCAGGTAAAAAGGGCGTGTACATGACGGACATAACGCCTCAGGGCGTGGCCATGAAGGCTGGCGTCCTGGCCGACGACCACTTGATGGAGGTCAACGGAGAGAACGTAGAGGACGCCACCCACGAGGAGGTGGTTGAAAAGGTGCGTCTCGAAGGGCTGCTTTCCTCACCTCTGCTCTGGTTGGAGGTGGCGGGAAGAGAGCAGTCGGGGTTTGTGACGCGGGGGGCGTGACTATAAAGATGGGAAGTGGCCCCTTTGTATTGACAGCAAACAGACTCGCTAGCGCCATGAGCAGGGTTGGTAACGGGGTCGAAGGCCTTCGCTCGTTTCACGTCATCTTGAAGAAAAGGGGTTTCGAGAGCCACTAACTTCATCTTTTGGATCTTGAGTGGGCCTGATTGGGAGCCCCCTCCGAATTTAGAATAGATCAGTGTTGAGCCCACGTTACTGAAAGGTTCAGGGCATAAACGCTGTGGCGAGGAATACGGGGAGTACCCGGGGCCCCCACCCCTCTCATATCCAGCATCGTTCCAGACTCGTGGAGAACACGCCGAGGTTTTCCTCTGAGGTCATGTGGACCCCTGAGAACTGACCGACCTTCTCTTCTCTTGGTAGAATGATCTTTCGAAGTGACTTTCTTTTGTTTTCCAAACTCCTTCTCCAGCCTTCGCCTAAGTACCTTTCTGGGTTTGCCGAATTCCAGCTCACACTTGGGTTCAGTTGGCATCGGTGTGGGCGAGGTCACACCTAACGAAGGGTAGAACGAGAGCCGTGGCAGCAGAGGTAGATAAACACCAGCGAGGTGGCAGGAAAGAGCGTGACAGCTGAAACCCGGGCCCTCCGTCCCGTGTGTTCTGCTGAATCTAGACTCTCGGTTCCTCTGTCCAGAACGGTCCTCTCTCTCAGCATCGTTCTTGGAGACCGACGCTGGTCCTCACCTGTGCGTGTGCTTGCAGGTGAGGAAGTCGGGAAGCCGTGTCATGTTCCTGCTGGTGGACAAGGAAACTGACAAGCACCACAGGGAGCAGAATATAAAGTTCGAGCGAGAGACAGCGAGTTTGCAGTTCCTGCCCCTCCAGCCCCGGGCTGTGGAGATGAAGAAGGGAAGCAGTGGCTACGGCTTTCACCTGAAGAGCAGCCCAGAGCAGAAGGGTAAGGCGCGGGCAGAGCCGGAGCCCACAGCGTCCCCGCCCGGTCTGACTCCAGAGCTCCACGAGGCCCCAGCTCCCCACCAGGTGCACGAGGGGGACAGTAAGAAGCTGGAAAGCAAAGCTGGGTCAGTTTCCATGCAACCCCGGGGCCTGCTGGGCACCCCCAGGTTTCCATGGCAGAATAAGAAGGCAGGATTTCGAAGCTGGGCAATAGTATGCTGCTAAATTGGCTCTCGGGGTTGGGGGGGTAAAAGCATCGTTATTCGTAGCATTTGTCGATTTTTGCGGTGTAAATACTCCCACCGTGTCTGACTCCAAGCTACCAACACGTCACAGTTGAGATTATGCACAACCAGTTCTCAGGAGCTGCTGTGAGCAGACCCAGCACGCTGGACTGGAGGCGGGACCAGTGTGGGGCGGGACCTGGGACTCGAACAGAACCAGGAGGCTTTCTGATGGGCACAGAGGTCCTCCCAGGGCAGGTGACTCTATGAAAGAATGTAATAAGTTCAGGCCATGTAAACTGTTATACAACAGGAGTTGCTGTTTCTTTTTACGATATCTATTTACCTGACTTGATCAAATGTTAATTTGGTCCATGTTATGTAAAAAGTATCCTCAGGACCTTTGAGACTATCAAGTGGATCAGACAGAAATTCTTAGTCAAGGAGCCTCCTATCACTAGAGGAGATAAGAAACACGTGTAACTGAAGGTAGATACCGAGAAGCACCCCAATAAAAGGGGGGTGGCAGTGGAGGGAGGTAAAGGCCTGTAGAACTCCAGGTTGGAGCCGGCTCTTCTCTCTAGAAGGCGCTGGAAGGCTTCATGGAAGAGGTGGCATCTGGGCTCAGGCTCTGTAGTATGAATGGAATTCGGACTAGATACAGCAACCACGAAGTTTGGACTTGGTTCTAGTTGTGAGGTGTTAAGATTTTTGAACAGTGTGAGAAAAAAAAATTAAGCCTGCAGTGTTTTGGGGGCTTTAGACATCTCAGTCACTCCCAATAATTCTGCAAGAAATGCTGACATGGAGGGCTTGGAGAAGACCCAGTGATTATCTAAGGTCAATAGTTAGCTGTGGAATAACCGGGATCAGACTCAGGTCTGTTTAGCTCCAAAGCAAAGCTGATGCTGTTGCACTGGGGAGTGACTTGGTCAGACTTTGTGTCAAGGAGAATCTGAAGGTGGATGTGTATTGAAGGCAGGGATTAGGGACAGGGAGAGCAACTGGTAGTTTAGGTAGAACTCAAGGCAGGAACTAACACAAACCGCATTTAGGGTTACGGAGGTGGGACTGGAGAAGCGATGCCTGTGATGTTAAGGTAGCACCGTAAGACAGCAGTTGACAAGAACGGGCAGTGGGTGGTGAGGCGGGTCAGAGGCTGAGTGTCAGTGGGGGGCGATGGTGCTCCAAGTGACAGGTGAGGGGTGCTTTGGGGACACATTACGTTGGGAGGGAGCTCTGGGCTACCCAGTCGGAGATGCCCAGCAGCCAGTGGGAAAAGTAACACTGAAGCTCTTTAAAACAGTGCTCGGCACAAAAAAGGAACGTACAGTGGCATCCGGTGAAGATGTTCAAGTCACGGGAAGGCCAAAGACGCAGCCTCGAGGCGTCCACACAGACCCGTTCACGGGTGCTACTAAAATGCCCGCATGGGTTTCCTAGGGTCTGAATATTTTGGTTTTGCTCTTTGTGCTCGCCCCACCCCCATCCCGCCTTTTATGGCTCAGCTTCTACATAAGATGCGTGGGTCCAGGCTCGCCCACCGGCCTCCCAGGAACCTGCTGACCCTTCATGCTCAGTGTGCTATTTTGTCAAGATTGAATTCCAGGCCCTTTTAGAAACAACATGATTTTCTTTAAGGCCCTTTCGTTGCCAATGGCTGGGTTTGTTCCTGGAGTTGAGTTCCGAGCAGGGAATGGGGCTGGAGAAGGGTGCTCACGGGCTTCCTAGGATGTCAGTTGGGGGACAGAGCCCGTAGTCAGCCTGCCTTTTACCTCTATTTCATCAGTGCTTTGGGCGGCAGAAATCCTAGTTTTTCAGTGATCTTTCTGATAACGTCATTTATTTCGGGGGCTGGGGTTAGGTCAAGTCATCAAAGACATAGACCCTGGGAGCCCAGCGGAGGCGGCTGGCCTGAAGACCAATGACCTGCTAGTGGCTGTCAACGGCGAGTGTGTGGGGTCCCTGGGCCACGACGACGTGGTGGAGATGATCAGGAAGGGCGGGGATCAGATTTCGCTGCTGGTGGTGGACAAGGAGACGGACGAGCTGTATCGACTGGTAAGTGGAGCAGGGCCACACGCTCAGGCGTTATGGGGGGCTCCATCGCGTCTGCCCCCACGCTGGGCTCAGGCACCCCTTTTTTTGAGCCAATGCTGTTCAGTCCACGGGTAGCCTCTGTTTCCACTCACGAGCCCATGGTGTCAGCACCGGTGTCCGGTGCCGGCTGATGAGAGTAGGGCCGATTTCAGCCGGCTGGATCATCTGTCTGCTTGGGTAAGTGACCACTTTGCTCTCCAGACCGGAAGGGGCACAACGATGACCTTGAGGCTGCACTGAACCTCAGGGTGGCAGAGACAGGAGAGTGCCAAGTGACTGGCATCTGAGTTTTAAGTCGTAAGGTTCAAGATTTGGAAAGAATTTGCAAATATAACTGCAGAATTACTTTTGGTTATCTTGAGAAAAATCCATGATCAGTAGGCCACCGGAAAAAGGCAGACATGGCCCTAAGTTTCCTAAACAGGGACCAAATGAATTTTAAACTATAGGCCAGCAAGTTCCATCGATCCCATGTAAAAGCCTAGAAAGGCTTATTAAACAGCTTGTAGTAATTTGAAAGGCTACTCCATGTGAGAAGCAGACTTATTTTTGAGGTGTTCTGGGCACAGCTTCACCCAATAGAGACGCCGTAGGGAGGCAGGTTTTGGCTTAGGACCCCCGAAGCCGCTAGGAGCGTGATCAGCTACTTCTGCAGAGTGCTGAGCTCCCAGCTGGGGGAAACGATCGAGAAGTCAGAGGTCACTGCTCAGCTGCTGTAGAGAGGATTATGACATCGAGTCCTTTCCAACTTCTAATCTTATGACAGAATGCTTTAACTATAATTTTAATGTTTTGGTCAATCTGAGAGAGAACGCTAATCTAAAAAGATGTCTGTCCTCATCTTCTTCCTCCCTCTTCCCTCCAAAGTAAGTTGCATAAGTGAGTTGGATCGTAAGAGGTAGATTAGTGAATAATGCACCTAGAACACCAGTTCCTAGAACACACCAGACACCCAAATATTTGAAGAATGAAAACTCATTAAGTGTACGTTACTGTACTTTGCCTCGAGATTAGCTGCTACTGTCAGACACAGCTGATGTGCTCGTTTGGGGAGTGATGTCAGGTATTCGTGCATGTAATCAGTTACTGATAATTTTCCACGTTTTAAAGAGAAAAATGTGGAACATTGGCAAGTGTATCACTAAAAGGTCTGAAGTTAGCTGAGCTGGGTAGTGAGCAGGTTCTGTGCTGATGCTACTCTCGCTTAGCAAACGGTCTTGTGGCTAGTAAGACAGGTGGTAACCGGAGGACCCCACGTCTGCCCTTGGCCAAGCCTCTGAACGGGAGGATCGGGGACAGAGCACACATCGTACTCACTTTCGATTACTGCATTTTTCACTCATCGCCTGACACGTCTTGGACACTTCTGGGCAGCAACTTAACTGCTGATCCAGGATCTCACCATATCTAAACCTATCCTTTTAATTCTCTCGACTAAGACCCACGGCTGGCTAAGCCCTTAGTTCTGTAAAAGAATTAGTCACGTTTCCTGCTCCATGCCTCTTCTGTATTCGAGACCATCACTGCTGCTTCTCACGGATGGTCTGGGAGTTGAGATGGCTTAGGAGTTGTTTAAAGATGGTGAGGAGTTTCGCATGACAGACGTGTCCGCTGAGGGTTATAACACTAAATAGTAAAACAGGACAGCAGGTCTGGAGGGGAAATAATCTTTGATACCATGTGACCATTGGATGGCCGCCACCCTGCACCCCTTACCCCTATGCGTACTTTAGATAGTGATAAAAATAGCGTCTTGGTTTCACTTTAATGTGTTTAAGGAGCTCTGGCCATGACCTTGCTGAGGGGGAAGGGCCACACGAACCTGCTTGGCGTGAGGCACTGGGCAAGTCCCTCGGTGAGTGTAACTTCCAACAGGGGACAGATTCCCATGTTTCACAGTGACTCGCTCACTATCACCAAGTCAGAGGAGCCAGCGACCCTGTGACTTATTTTCGGATCCTTGCAGGACGCCCCGGGCTGCCTTTGCTTTACGTGCGTGTGCACCTGTTCCCGTGCTTGTACGCGACACTCCGTGACCGAGCTCGGCTCCTTTATACCTTTTCTGGTTGGAGCAGAGGACTTTTACAGCCCACAAGTAGACATCTCACGTTTGACACTTTGTAAATTAAACCAGCGCGTTTAATAAAGTGCAACCCTTCACTCTTACAATTCATGTTTTTCCCCCTTTATTTTCAAAAGGCTCATTTTTCTCCATTTCTCTACTATCAAAGTCAAGAACGGCCCGAGGGCTCTGTCCAGGAGGCTCCGGCTCCCGCTGCTCCTCTGGACGGCCCCAGTCCAGACGCCACAGAGGAAGCAGAACACAAGCCGAAGCTGTGCAGGCTGGTGAAAGGCGAACAGGGCTACGGCTTCCACTTAAATGCGCTTCGGGGTCAGCCAGGCTCATTCGTCAAAGAGGTAGGTGATCTGGTTTCCGGCGGCCGCCGAACACGGCCGGGCAGGAGGGTGTCAGTTTTCCTGGTCCCTGACGGTGTAGGAAAAAGGCCACATGGAAGGCCTATGTCACGCGCCACGATGGCTGTCGTGCCCTGTGTCCTCTCGCATAGCTCCCAGGACATCCTAAGCTCACTGCTGTTTTCTTGAACGTCTGTCCCACCTCGCTCTCCAGCGACCCCTGAGCAACGTGCAGGTTAGCGGTGCTCGGGCCCCCCGCAGCTGAAAATCCACGCATGAGTTCTGACCCCCCAAAAACTTAACTCCTAACAGTTGACCGGAAGCCTTATGGATAACGTAAACGTTGCTTAACACGTATTTTATATGTTACATGTATTACATACTGTGTTCTTGCAATAAAAAAATGTTATTAAGGGAATCATGAGGAAAGGCAGTTACGGTATCTGAGGAACGCCCACGCGTAAGTGGACCCGCGCAGTCCAGACCTGTCGTTCACAGGTCCACTGTGCTTCCACATCAGACGGCCCGTGAGCCGACAGGACCGTGGCTGACGGCCACTAGCGGCCCCCCGGAGGGACGCCTGGTGGCGTCTGTGCGCCCGGTGTAGAGCCCCTGCCCCGCAGGGCCGGCAGCAAGACTGTCCCTAGCGCTCTCAAGTTGGGGAGGAGGGAGGGGACCTGTGACACCTAGTGCCTTCGACGCCTCAGACGCACATGTGATACCCGGCCGCGGTGACGCTGCTCCCTGGAGTTCGGAAGCTGTAGCTTTCACAAGCAGGAAAGCAGCAGGGCAGCGCTGAGCTTCTGTGCCCCGATGGAAAATCACAGGGCTGGGAGCAGATTCTCCAGCCGCGCCCTCCCCGGTGCAGGACAGAGTCCAACGCTCCCCGGCGCTCGGAGGTGGGACTCGAGCTCTGTTCGCAGGTCCAGCAGGGCAGTCCTGCCGACCTGGCTGGCCTGGAGGATGAGGACATCGTCATCGAAGTCAACGGGGTGAACGTGCTGGATGAACCTTACGAGACGGTGGTGGACAGAGTCCAGAGCAGTGGGAACGAGGTCACGCTCTTAGTCTGTGGAAAGGTGGCCTACGATTATTTCCAGGCCGAGAAGATCCCGATCGTGTCCTCCATGGCCGACCCGCTGGACGCGGCCCCGGACACCGCAGAAGGCTCGCCGGCGGGATCGGAGCCAGGCTCGCCGGCGGGGTCGGAGCCAGGCT